CGGTTCAGAAAACCGTCACTGCTGCTGTTGGCTGCGAGCGGGAATCGAACGGGTCATCGGGTTCGTGACGCAGTGCGCTAACCGTTGCTCCACCTCTTTCCACACACACGCACACACGCACACACACGCACACGCACACACACGCACACACACACGCGCACACACACACACGCACACACACGCACACGCGCACACACACACACGCACACACACGCGCGCACACACAAGCGCATGGCATACACATGTATGGACGCGGACGGAGATGTTCAGTGGAGACTTTTCAGCAAGAGATGTTAGTGAGCACCTATAAAGAGGCATGAGGTGGTGTGGGGTGCGGTGGGGTGCAGTCAGCACCACGTCTGGCTACCCTTTGTGTGCCAACGTTTGTACAACCATATCAGGTACTCATTTAAGGCTGAGTCCACCTTGGGGAGGCCCAGTGGGGGAAGGGGGGGGGTGCAGCGCACTCACCACTCAGCCACCGATGATCTAACCCCTGTGCCGCTCTCTCTGTTCCACTGATGGACAATGAGAACTGACCCCGAGAGCGACTGTGGTTGCTAACCTCAAACCACAGTCCACGCACATAGAGACACACAGACTCACAGACTCACATAGACACCAATAGGCTCACATCGAGACACAGACTCACATAGACACCCATAGGCTCACGTCGAGACCCAGACTCACATAGGCTCACATCCAGACCCAGACTCACATAGACACCCATAGGCTCACGTAGATACACAGACTCACATAGGCTCACGTCCAGACCCAGACTCCCATAGACACCCATAGGCTCACGGAGAGATCCAGACTCACATAGACACCCATAGGCTCCCGAAGAAATACACAGACTCACACAGACACCCACAGTGGAAGAGACAGTGGCCCAGTGGTGAGACCGTCGGTGGCTAAGTGGTGAATGCACCGCACTGTGAACTTCATTCTCAGCGGCGTACATCTACACGCACCTCCGATTAGCACGGCTACGTGCGGTGCTCAAGTTCAACATACACACGCACATGCCAAGCGTGTTCGGCACCAACCCAACTTTCCACCGGAATCATCGGTGGCCGGATCCTGACTCACGGAACGGTGGGGGAATGGGGGGGGGGGGCAACCGATTCTGAAAATGCGCACCGGGGTTTACTGCCGACCCCGTCGTTCGACAACCCCAAGAGGGGGCCCCCCCCATCGCTGGTCGCGGCAGCAGCTACCTCCTCCTGCAGCAGACTTCCCAGCAGCAGCTGAGCGCGCACACGTCATCACGTGACCCAGTTCCCAGTCCGTCCTAACGCTGGCGCAGGAAGGACCTCGCTTCGATAAATCAGCCATCAACTCTCACGCCAACCGCGCTTCCTTTCTGCGTAAATCCCCTCTCCCCCCCCACCGACCACGTGCATGCACGTGCGTCTGTTAGCGCCACGTGCGTCTGTTAGCGCCGCGTGCGTCTGTTAGCGCCGTCTGCGTCTGTTAGCGCCACGAGCGTCAAAGCTCGACGTTTAAGGCTTATGCCGATGCACAAAGTCAGAGGAGTGGATCAGGGGCAGGTGGTGGTGGAGGAGGGGGGAGACGATGTGAAATGTAACATTCAAACGGTACAGAACAGGTGGAGAGAATGTAGAGACTCCACTCACTCACTGCAGAATAGGAGAAGATCATACAAACTCCACTCACTCTCACTCTGCAGAACAGGGGTGGATCATACAAACTCCACTCACTCTGTAGAACAGGAGGAGATCATACAAACTCCACTCACTCTGTAGAACAGGGGAGATCATACAAACTCCACTCACTCTGTAGAACAAGGGGAGATCATACAAACTCCACTCACTCTCACTCTGCAGAACAGGGGTGGATCACAAACTCCACTCACTCTGTAGAACAGGAGGAGATCATACAAACTCCACTCACTCTGTAGAACAGGGGAGATCATACAAACTCCACTCACTCTGTAGAACAAGGGGAGATCATACAAACTCCACTCACTCTGTAGAACAGGGGAGATCATACAAACTCCACTCACTCACTCTGTAGAACAGGGGGAATATACAAACTCCACTCACTCTCACTCTGTAGACCAGGGGGAGATCATACAAACTCCACTCACTCTGTAGAACAGGGGGAGATCATACAAACTCCACTCACTCTGTAGAACAGGGGGAGATCATACAAACTCCACTCACTCTGTAGAACAAGGGGAGATCATACAAACTCCACTCACTCTGTAGAACAGGGGGGATCATACAAACTCCACTCACTCTCTGTAGAACAAGAAGATCATACAAACTCCACTCACTCTGTAGAACAGGGGGAGATCATACAAACTCCACTCACTCACTCTGTAGAACAGGGATGGAATATACAAACTCCACTCACTCTGTAGAACAGGGGGAGATCATACAAACTCCACTCACTCTCACTCTGCAGAACAGGGATGGATATACAAACTCCACTCACTCTGTAGAACAGGGGAGATCATACAAACTCCACTCACTCTGTAGAACAGGGGGAGATCATACAAACTCCACTCGCTCTCACTCTGCAGAACAGGGGGAGATCATACAAACTCCACTCACTCTGTAGAACAGGGGGAGATCATACAAACTCCACTCACTCTCACTCTGCAGAACAGGGGGAGATCATACAAACTCCACTCACTCACTCTGTACAACAGGGGGAGATCATCCAAACTCCACTCACTCACTCTGTAGAACAGGAGGAGATCATACAAACTCCACTCACTTCACTCTGCAGAACAGGGGGAGATCATACAAACTCCACTCACTCACTCTGTACAACAGGGGGAGATCATCCAAACTCCACTCACTCACTCTGTAGAACAGGAGGAGATCATACAAACTCCACTCACTCACTCTGTAGAACAGGAGGAGATCATACAAACTCCACTCACTCACTGCAGAACAGGGGGAGATCATACAAACTCACTTCACTCTGCAGAACAGGGGGAGATCATACAAACTCCACTCACTCACTCACTCTGTAGAACAGGCGGAGATCATACAAACTCCACTCCCACTCTGCAGAACAGGGGGAGATCATACAAACTCCACTCACTCTGCAGAACAGGGGGAGATCATACAAACTCCACTCACTCTCACTCTGCAGAACAGGGGGAGATCATACAAACTCCACTCACTCTACAGAACAGGGGAGATCATACAAACTCCACTCACTCTGCAGAACAGGGGGAGATCATACAAACTCTACCCACTCTGTAGCACAGGGGGAGATCATACAAACTCCACTCACTCTACAGAACAGGGGAGATCATACAAACTCCACTCACTGCAGAACAGGGGGAGATCATACAAACTCCACTCACTCTCACTCTATAATAGGGGGAGATCATACCAACTCCACTCACATTCACTCTGTAAAACAGGGGGAGATCATACAAACTCCACTCACTCTGCAGAACAGGGGAGATCATACAAAGTCCACTCATAAAGAGTCGGGAATCGGACCCAGGCATTTCTTGGTGCGAGGCACGCCTCTTACTGCCACTTCTGCCAACATCCTGCCGCCCAGAACGTTTTCGAGTCCCGCCTCTGCCAAGGGGGCCAACCGCCACGACATCACAACACCGGAGACGACGAGACGGGAGCCAAAACAATGTTGGGAAATTGGGGACAAAACCAGAAACTCCAAGCACGAGCATCACCGCCACTACCCCCCACGGCCACGACTTTGCATCGTGGCCGTGGTGGGGGGGGGGGGGGGGAGATATTACGGTAATCGCGTGGGGCCAGGAAATCTCGGCGTGTTTTTGTTTTGTTAACATTCTCAACGTGCTGGCGGGGGTCGTGGTGGTGGAGGAATCTTGTTTCTTGTTGAACGAGAAAGCCCGAAGCTGTCCTGCAACTCGGGGAGTGGCAAAAGCGCCGGAGCCGTTGCAGGGAAAACGATTTCTCTCTAGCGGCGTGAGAACCAAAAGAACGACCCCTCGTTAGTCATCATCGTGTTGTTGTAGTCGTTGCCAAACGCAATAACGGTTTTTTTGTTGTTGGGTTAGATCGCGTAAATATGAATGTGCCGTTAACCCGCCAGCCATCAACGCCTCCGATAAGCACGTTTGGCTATAACGGTGCGAAAGAAGTTCCACATACATACGTACTTTAGCAAGGTTGGCTAAGTTCCACATACATACGTACTTTAGCAAGGTTGGCTAAGTTCAACATACATACGTACTTTAGCAAGGTTGGCTAAGTTCCACATACATACGTACGCTAGCACGGTTGGCCACGTACGGTGAAAAACAAGTTCAACATACACACATGCCACCCGACAAAGCCAATTAGTAAGGTTTGTCACGTGAACACAACGCGCCAAATTGGTTACTCCTTCAGCACTAACCGGCTGCGTTGGAGAGTAAACCCACAACATTTACCGTATGAGTATTGTGACGTTTAGCTGCCCATGACAACCGGCTTCATCGGGCACAACCTTTAGGATTGATAACATTGGTCGCGGAAGCCTACTACGTGTTCAACTCACTATTATCGTTGCCGTTGTTATTGCTGTTGCTATATTACTGCTTGTCTACGCAGGGTACGCCCAGCCGAGTTTCGTGCATCTTCTAGTGGCAGGGTCTTGCCGAGGTTTTGCGGTGGGAGGCGATGATTGCTCCTGCTGCTTGTGCGTTAACACTTTACAGAGCGCCTCCGATGAAGAGCGCCTCCGATGAAGAGGCGGCGCTTAACATTACGAAAACAAAAACGGGACAAACAGAGAAGTGATTCAGATGGCAGGGGAGCGCAAGGAATGAGGAACAGGTGACCAAGATCGAGGGTGCCTAGGAGGGGGGGGGGGGGTGAGGGAAGGGGAGGACGCGGGAATGGGCAATGGAGATAAGGTGAGCTTTGATTTGCGGCGTAATATTCAACATTTGGCGAAGATTTAGAGCGAGATGCGGGCACACGAGGGCCCACTCTTTGACACCGCAGGATATTTGGCGTCCACATACCGTGTCAACCCATACGGTTTAACCCGTATTCTTGTACAACTTGTACAGGGAAATTGCGTTTTTCAGGTCCGTACGGCGTACAGCCGTTTCAAGACGGGGAAAAAATGTCTATATGTTTGTGTTTCTCCCTTGTGATGGGACTTTGTAGGATGAACGTTGAGATTTATAAGGGCACGGGGTGACCAATAAGGTCTGAATTTGTCTGTAATAAGGAGACACTGCTAAGGGGTTGACAGGTTTGCGTCCACTGTGAATCGGATGGCGCGCAATAAATTTTCACGGTGAATATTCAGCAAAACCGCGGTGTTAGCCGGAGCGGCTGAACTGGGTGGGACGCGTGTGTGCAGGACAGGGGGCGGGGGGAGGGGCGATTGCCGTGACGGGTGTTGGAGCGGTCTCCAACGAGCCCGGACGCCAAGGGGAAGAGAAGGCCTAAGGCCAGATGGGCGGGATGAGACCGTCAGGGCAGAGCTTGGGAGGTGGCTGCGTGGCGACCGTGCATCAGCTGCGGGAACCGGCGGAAAGATGTGGCTGAAAGCCGTCGGTAGCGAGGAGGTGCCGTGTTGGCAATGGCCATGGCGGTAGTGGTGTTCGCGGTGGTCGTGGCGGCGGTGTTGGTGGCGGTGTTGGCGGTGGTGTTGGTGGCGGTGGTCGTGGCGGCGGTGTTGGCAATGGCCATGGTGTTGATGGCGGTGTTGGTGACGGTGTTGGTGGCGGTGTTGGTGACGGTGTTGGTGGCGGTGTTGGTGGCGGTGTTGTGGTGTTCGCGGTGGTGGCGGTGGTCGTCGCGGCGGTGTTTGCGGCGGCACCGGCGGGCCGGGTTCCTCACCCACACGGGGCACCGCGCCCCGTCGCTTTGCGTCGCCAGTCGACAGAAGAAGCCGGGGTCGGCGGACCGACGAGCCTCGCCCCAGCGGATCATGTCCCCCCGGTAGCGCTCCTTGTAGTCGCTCGCGTCCAGCAGCTTGTCCAGCTCCAGCTGGTGCTCCTGCCGCAAACAGCGCCGCCCGTCCTTCCATCGGCTCCGTCCACCCACGCTCATCGGGGTTTCTCCCGCGCACGGCAGGGTAATGCGGCCCGTTCGGTTAGATTCGTAAAATAAATAAATAACAAAATAACGAATCGTGACACGGGGTGGGATAACGCGGCGTTAGCACAGACTGGGAACTGGGTCGCGTGGTGCAGACAATCGTTGAGGTATAAATCGATGCGGTCATTTGACACCGAGATGAAGCCGGTTGTAATTACTGGCGAAACATCGTACTCAGAATGTAAATGTTGAGAGTGACGAATTGGCCACGTTCTGTTTACGTGACAAACCTTGCTAAATCGGGTGGTGGCGGGTTTAACGACACATTTATAAATTTACGCGATTTAATCCCAAAAACCTCTATTATGAACTCCGAGTAGCTTCTCACAGCCGATGTCATGATTCACAATTGGTTTTTGGGTTAGGCCACGTAACGATCTGGACCAAATGTATGTCGCAAAGACCCCCACTCCCCCCCGCCACTGACCCGCCACAGCCAAATAAAGTTGTCGCTTGGTGCAGAAACGCGCCGAATGTTAACGTTTCAGCTCGCTCAACGGCGACTTGAAGAGCAATGCTCACAACCACATTGAGCAGCAGGTCGACACTCGGGACAAGATAGACGAAGTCGGAACAACCGTGTCAGCTGACGCGGCTTCTTAAGTAGACAACCATCAATGCGGTCAGCGCCGGCTTTACTGGTGGAAGGGCGACCACCAGAGAGAGCTCTCGACAGCCACTCTAGTGGGTATTTGGCCTACTCTTCCACGCTGGCTGGTATGTCTTGGCAGCGGTCAGAGGGGCCCACACTTCACCGCCACCGCAAGCGACCTGCTGATCGACTTTGGTGCTAAACTCAATTCTCCTGCTCGCTAGACAGAGGGGCGGTGGAGTGGGGCGATGTGGAGAAGCAAGAAGATGGCTCCTATTGTTTCAACTGCCACACGGGGAGACGGAATCGAACCGGAGACCTCTGGATCGCAAGCTCAGTACTTGCGAGCACTACAACCGCTGTGGCAGTTAAACTAAAAACTACACTGTTTTTATTTTACTCAGTAAGGTCCAAGGAACTATAGCTCTTTTTCAGAAGCGACCTGGTCACCAGCGGTAGCTCAACGAAGTGACTTAACATGTCGAAATTTAGAGCTGCCAAATGCTCTAAACGCGTGATGTAGATTCGACATGTGGAGGGGAAATGCAGTGCCAGGAGAAACATCCACATGACTACGGGGAGAACACGCAAACTCCAAATTTACAGAAAGTGTCAGGGTGGGGATCGAAACCCACGACCTCCTGTACACCAGGCGAGGTAGTTAACATCTCCTAGCCACCGTTCTACGGTATCCCTTGAAAACAGTAGCGCAAAAATATACTTCACAGGCCTTTTGTCAATCCGCTGCAGGATGAAGGCGTTGGTGCCATGGGAGAGAACTCACTTTGGCTGCGGCTTCTCTCGACATTCGCCCCCCCCCCTCCTTTCCCCCCCCCACTTGATCGAGCAATGAGAGCCAGCGCCCTCGAGTGAACTCACCTTGGCGAACTGGCTCTTCAGCGGTCCAGACAGTCGCAGGATCGCACACACGTCTTCTCCCAGCCTGCAACGAGAACAAGAAACGCAACGCGGCGCTTACGGTTTGGTGAACAGCCGAGACAAAGATTCCCCAGCAGGGCCAGATAACTACAAAACCTTGCTTTATCTTGGCAAGTAAGGCGCCACTGAGCTGTATAGCTCTTTTTCAGACGCGACCTGGCTACAAATGATAGCTCAACAAAGTGGCTTATCATTTAGAGCGTCCAAATACTCTAAACGCGGGATGTCGATTCTAAATGTGGAGGGAAAAACTGGAGGACTCGGAAACAAATACATGGAGAGAGAGAGAGAAACCAACTCTAAATATACAGGCAGCAGGCATCAGGGTGAGGATCGAACCCACGACCTCCTGCATACCAGGCGAGGTAGTTAACATCTCCTAGCCACCGTGATGATGAGAGAGACGCAAACTCCAAATATACAGCAGGCGACAGGGTTGGGATCGGACCCACGACCTCCTGCATACCAGGCGAGGTAGTCAACATCTAGCCACCGTGATGATGATGATAAGAGAGACGCAAACTACAAATATACAGCAGCAGGCGTCAGGGTGAGGATCGAACCCACGCCCTCCTGCATACCAGGCGAGGGAGTCAACATCTCCTAGCCACCGCGCCACATCAAGGATGGCACAGCGGCGACACTCGCGACTCGTTTCGAATTCTGACTCGGGAGCCTTTCCGTGTGGAGCTCGTGCGTTCTCTCAATTGGACGTCCTCTGGTTTTGATCGTGTGGGCAATGTCGACGGGCCCTCATGCTAACTACAGCCGTGCACCCTCCACCACCCGACATGGCGAGATTAAATCGAGACGTCGCGTCGCGGGCGAACGCGCCCATGGATTTTGTTTTTCAGCAAAAAACCGGTTACGTAGGAAAAGCCCACGCTCAAGTTTGCCAACATGGGACCTTACTTGCCAGTAAAGTATAAGAAAAGGTTTTTACCTTGTATTTGTTTGAATGTGTGGTTAATGCAGACATGATTCCTTGTAAAATGTTTCTGTTTGGGGTTTGAACATCTTGACACTTGTTTTGCCAGGAAGGGGTAAAACCAGTTCTTATAAATGTTTGGCAATTAACAAAATTTCCCTGCTGGCTTTGTCTGGCGGTGGATGGTTATGGGCTTGATTGACGTGACACCTACGTGCTCAAACCCAGAATAACTCGGCACATGCGCCCGCGTGAGCGTGCGAGCATGTGTACGGTGCTGGCCACTCAACTCCTCGTGTGCTGCAGCGGTCTTCATAGGTGCTCGCTAACAGCTTTTGCCCCAACAGTCTGTTCAGGCTAGACGGGGGATCTTTGTATTTGTGGCCTTAAAATAAGAAAAGAATATATCACCGGCAATTTTCAGGCAATAGCCTTCTCATAAGCACGTACCTTTACCTGGCATGTGTTATTTGTGTGTCGCCTTAAAGGGGAAAAAAAATAGGTGACGTTTTGGGCAAAGGCCCTTCTTCATGGTATTAGAGAGCTGCCAGTAGACAGAGAGACAGA